GCGCTTAAGGTTAGAGGGGGCCTGAGTGTGGGCAGGGGCCAGGGAGGGAGAGGCGGAAGTGAGAGAGACCCCACGAGGAAGAATTAGCCACCAGCCAGCAGGACAGGCCTGGGGCTCTGTCTGCCTCCAGGCCCTGGTGTCCCGGGATGAATGAAGAAGGAGGGAGCTGGAGTGAAACCTCCACTGGTCCACGATCCATGATCTCTGACCCCCTCCTCCCCTCTGTGGACCCTTACGCCCATCAGTCCCCAAGGGCCTGCTCATCTCCATAGCAGTCAGAGATTGGATACTGCCCCTGCCCAACCCCCCAGGAGCCCTCAATGACTCCACTTCCCTGCTGCTGAAGGCCAGATGCCTGGCTTGGCCTCTCTCACTGCCCATCCTCTACCTGACCTCCCAGCCTCACCTTCTGCCTCCTGACCGCCTCCTCCCTCGCCAGCTGTGATGGGCTCACTCTTGTCCTTGAATCTTCCCTCCACCCCTAACTGCCTCTCTAGTTCCACCCCTCCCACGAATCAGTGTCAGCAACCTGGAACCTCCCTCCTCAGATCTGTGACAATCTTACCTGCTGCCACATGTTGTCACCAGCCCTAGGCGTGGGGTGGGGTATGTGACTTCTGTCTGTGCCTGGCACCAAGCTGGGCTGAGAGAAGCCACAATGTTTGTGGAGGATATAGCCCCACTCTCTGCCCCCAGGTGCCGCTGTCTGAAGGCTGCAGCCAGGCTCTGATGCGTCTCATCGGCTGTCCCCTTTGCCGGGGAGTCCCCTCACTTATGCCCTGCCAGGGCTTCTGCCTCAACGTGGTTCGTGGCTGTCTCAGCAGCAGGGGACTGGAGCCTGACTGGGGCAACTATTTGGGTGAGGGGATTCAAGAAAGCCTGGAGCCAGGCATGGTGGCTCACACCTGTAATCACAGCACTTTGAGAGGCTGAAAGGCAGGAGGATCACTTGAGGCCAGGAGTTGGAACCCAGCCGGGGCAACATAGCTAGACATCATCTCTACAAAAAAGAAAGAAAGAAAGAAAGAAAGAAAGAAATTAGCCAGGTGTGGTAGCACCCACGCCTGTAGTCCCAGTTACTCCTGAGGCTGAGGCAGGAGATCACTTGAGGCCAGGAGTTGGAGGCCAGCCTGGGCAATGTAACTAGATCCCATCTCTACCAAAAAAAAAAAAAGAAAGAAAGAACTTACTACGCGTGGTGGCACACATGCCTGTTGTCCCAGTTACTCCAGAGGCTGAGGCAGGAGGCTCCCTTGATCCCAGGAGTTAAGAGGCTGCAGTAAGCTATGATGGTGCCCCTATACTCCAGCCTGGGCAAGAGAGTAAGACCGTGTCTTTTTAAAAAATCCTTAAATTGGCCAGGCACAGTGACTCACGCCTATAATCCTAGCACTTTGGGAGACCGAGGCAGGCGGATCACAAGGACAAGGTCAGGAGTTCGAGACCAGCCTGGCCAATAGGGTAAAATCCTGTCTCTACTGAAAAGAAAAAAAAAAAAAAATACAAAAATTAGCCGGACATGGTGGCGGGCGCCTGTAGGCTGATGCAGAAGAATTGCTTGAACCCAGGAGGCGGAGGTCGCAGTGACCCGAGATCACGCCAGTGCACTCCATCGAGCCTGGGCAACAGAGGGAGACTCAGTCTCAAAAAAAAAAAAAAAAAAAAAAAAAATCCTAAAATCCTAAAATTTAAATTTAAATTTTAAAAAAGTCTGGGATGGAGGAGGGTCCTGAGTAAGGCTAGGGGTGAACTGGAGAGGGGCTCTAAAGCCAAATTGGGGGAAAACATGAGAGGAAGCTCATGTGAGTTTCCCCGAAACACTCTGCTGCTTCTCTAAGGCCCAAGTGAGGATTTTCGGGAACATCCTAGTTCAGTATCACCACTCATCCCATCCTTTCTCTTTCTTTACCTCCCTTAAGATGGTCTCCTGATCCTGGCTGATAAGCTCCAGGGCCCCTTTTCCTTTGAGCTGGCGGCTGAGTCCATTGGGGTGAAGATCTCGGAGGGTTTGATGTACCTGCAGGAAAACAGTGCGAAGGTGTCCGCCCAGGTACGGGGGAGAGAAGGGTGGAGGTGAGACCCGGGGCGGGGATGGTGTGGGTGTCAGGGAGACAGTATAGGGGATCTGAGAAGAGACTCTGGGGTCAGAGTGAGGACGCAGTGTGGTTTCCCCCCAGGGTGACTGTGTGAGGTCTCTTCCCCATGCCGCAGGTGTTTCAGGAGTGCGGCCCCCCCAACCCGGTGCCGGCCCGCAACCGTCGAGCCCCGCCGCCCCGAGAAGAGGCAGGCCGGCTGTGGTCGATGGTGACCGAGGAGGAGCGGCCGACGACGGCGGCGGGCACCAACCTGCACCGGCTGGTGCGTGGGGTGACCAAGGAGTTGGGGGCGGGAAGGGCGGGGTCGGGGATGGGGATGGGGGTTGCGCTCCAGCTCGCCCCGCCCTTTCTCTCCTGCCCAGGTGTGGGAGCTCCGCGAGCGTCTGGCCCGGATGCGGGGCTTCTGGGCCCGGCAGTCCCTGACGGTGTGCGGAGACTCTCGCATGGCAGTGGATGCCTCGCTGGAGGCGGCGCCCTGCTGGACCGGAGCCGGGCGGGGCAGGTGAGCCTCGGGGGCGTGGTGGGGCAGCAGGGGGCGGGGCCGCGGCCGGGAGGGGCGGGGCCGCGCGCTCCAGCTAGAGGGGCTGCTCTGCTCGCAGGTACTTGCCGCCGGTGGTCGGGGGCTCCCTGGCCGAGCAGGTCAACAACCCCGAGCTCAAGGTGGACACCTCGGGCCCCGATGTCCCGACACGGCGGCGTCGGCTACAGCTCCGGGCGGCCACGGCCAGGATGAAGGCAGCCGCACTGGGACACGATCTGGACGGGCAGGACGCAGGTGAGACCCCAGCATTCCTGAGCCTGAGCCCCGCCCACTGCCCTTAAGCCTCTCCCCTCTCCTGGTAGTTCCCGCCTGTGTAGTTCCCACTGCTCTTAGCATTCATTCATTCATTAATTCATTCAACGAGCATTTATTGAGGGTTGACCTCAAAGCCTGGGTAACAGATCAATGAGGGGATCTCTATCCTTTCGGGCCAGTAGGGGAGACACGAAAACATTCTTACAGAACAGTGGGAAGACCCTTATAATGGGCAAAGGGCAGTGGGAAATGGGGGAGGGGGCAACTTGGGGGAGGCTGGGAAGCCAGGGTGGTGGGTGACATTGGGTTGGCTCCCCAGAGTGAAATTTGCCAGACAGAGAGGCAAGGCACAGACACTCACTGTTTTCTTCTCTTCTTCTGTCTGTCTCTGTCACTTCCCCCACCCTCTTCCTGGCTGCTCTCTGCTTCTGTGTACTTCTGATTTTTCTGTTTTTTCCTGTTATCCTATCTCCCCATCTGCCTGTCTTTTTTCTCTCTGTCTCATTGTCTCCCATCATGATCTCTCCCCGCTATGTCTGCTGTCGGATCTCTCTCTTTCCCTCTCTCCCTGCCTTCCTGTCTCTCATGGTCTTTCTCCCTTACCCAACCCGGCATCCACCTGTGTCTCCCTCCCCTGCCTCTCTCTTTCTGTTTTTATCTCAATTTCTTTTTCTCCCTCTGTCTCCCTCTGCCTCTCCCTCCCATCCTGTCTCTGTCCCTCTTCTTCCTTGCAGATGAGGATGCCAGCGGCTCTGGAGGGGGACAGCAGTATGCAGATGACTGGATGGCTGGGGCTGTGGCTCCCCCAGCCCGGCCTCCTCGGCCTCCATACCCTCCTAGAAGGGATGGTTCTGGGGGCAAAGGAGGAGGTGGCAGTGCCCGCTACAACCAGGGCCGGAGCAGGAGTGGGGGGGCATCTATTGGTTTTCACACCCAAACCATCCTCATTCTCTCCCTCTCATCCCTGGCCCTGCTTGGACCTCGATAACAGGGGAGGGGTGCCCTAGCATCAGAAGGGTTCATGGCCCTTTCCCCTCCTCCCCCCTCAGCTGGGCCTGGGGAGGAGTCGAAGGGGGCTGCAGAGAAGGTAGAGAAGGGACTTTGCAGGTGAATGGCTGGGGCCCCAAATCCAGGAGATTTTCATCAGAGGTGGGTGGGTGTTCACAATATTTATTTTTTCATTTGGTAATGGGAGGGGGGCCTGGGGTATTTATTTAGGAGGCAGTGTGGTTTCCTTAGAGGGTATAATCTCCAGTCCTCTAAGGCTGGGGCGGGTGATCAGCCCCAACAGAGAAAGTGAGGAGTTTAGAGTTGCAGCTGGGGAAGGGGTTTGAAGGAAGTTGGAAGTCGGGAGGGGTAGGGGCATCTTGTCTCAGAAATGGACAAAGCTGGATGCTGACAGGGTGTGGGGCAGGGGACTGGGGGTGCTTGAGTAGGATGTGAGGCTTCATGGGCCTGGGTTCTGTTGAGTTTTTTCAGTATCAATTTCTTAAACCAAAATTTAAAAAAGACAATGTGGGGGGGTGCTCATCTCGTGACCTCTGCCACTCACATCCTTCACAAACTCCATGTTTCAGTGTTCGAGTCTGTGTTCTGTAAATAAATGGTAATGTATTGGACCCCATGTGTGGCTTCTGTGCTGTCACCGTCAGTGCCTGAGCCCTGGCTCCCAGCAGAGGTCTCAGAGCCTCTCTGACTGGCTCATTTTCTGCCAGCTTTTCACCTCCCTTGGCACCTGTCCCCCAGGAGGCGGGTCTAGGGAATAACCCCTGCTCTCCCACCCTCTGGGCCTCTGAGCATCTTCGTTTGTACAACAGGGAGAATTGTGGGGACCAAATAGAATCTGTGTGAAAAAGCACCTTGTCACCTGCAAAATGCTCTTTGAACATGAGGCTTTTTTTTTTTTTTTTTTTGAGACGGAGTCTCACTGTTGTCACGAGGGTGGAGTGCAATGGTGGGATCTTGGCTCACTGCAACCTCCCTCCGCCTACCCAGTTCAAATGATTCTCCGGTAATCCTCTGGGATTACAGGCGCCTGCCACCACACCCAGCTAATTTTTGTATTTTTAGTAGAGACGGGGTTTCACCATGTTGGCCAGGCTGATCTCGAACTCCTGACCTCAAGCAATCCGCAGCCTCGGCCTCCCAAAGTGCTGGGATTACAGGCGTGAGCCACCACGCCCGGCCACAAGGCATTATTAAGGTGACCACACCACTGTCCCCTGCCTTCAGGATGGGAGGCCTTATTCTCTGAGCATCAGTCTCTGGCTACCTTGCCACGTCTTTGACAATGTCTGCTTTCAAATATCACTTTCTCCTTCCTTCCTTCTTCCTTTCTGCCGCCTGAATGAATCTTTTGTTCTGCGGCAAGCCAAGAGAAAATGGTAGGATTGATTCCCAAGTGTGAAAGGGGGGTGGAAGTGTTGTCTTCCAAGGGGAGTCTGGGTGCCCTGCCGGAGAAGGGAAGATGCAGCGGGGGAGAGACCTAGAACTGCGATCAAAGCTACAGCAGCTGCTGGGGCTGGCGGGACAAAGGGAGGAGGGAGGAGCCTGGGCGCTGAGAAAGTTCTTGGGGAAAGTTGAGCTGAGCCAAGAGTCGGGCGGTGGCTGGGGAGGGCAGGAGGGCCCGGCCCGATTTCCCTTGCTGCTCCCCTTGTGGCCTGGTGAGTGGGAAGTGAAACCAAGGATAGGACCAGTGGAGGGACCTTCTAATTTATGGGAGGAGACATGAGGGGTTCATGGGACCCCGGCAGGGGCAACTGACTGGGCAGTCACCAAAGCTGGAGGGGACAGAGGGCTGGGATCTCCAATCATGGGAAGGGAGAGATGGATGGAAGGAAATGAAGGGCTCTGGGAAGGGGAGACGCAGCTGGACCCCAGAGGCTGTGATCAGGGAGGGAATTGGGGAGTGATGCCAGAGGGGGCGGGTCTCCGGGAGTAAAAGTGTGGCTTCTCTCTGCCTGGGGTTACCCCTGGCTCATCGGAGCAGGGAGCTGTCGGGGCTTGTTGGAGGGGGCTGTGGTCCTTGATCGTGAGTAGTAATCTGAAGGGGCGGGGCTGGACTCCTGGTTGATTAGGAAGCTCGGGCTTGAGAAGGAACTCTACAGTTAGTATTTGTGCCTTTCTCCATATCTTTGTGTCATAGTCTCTCTGTCTCTCTGTGTCTGTCTGTCTGTCTGTCTCTCTCTATCTCTGTCTCCCTCTCCAGCCCCACCCTTTCAGTCTCCTCCGGGTGCACTGATAAGGTTGGAAAGTGGCATGGAGGGTTAAGTCCGGGAATCTGGGCTTCACAAGTAGCCACACGTCTCCCCCAGCCCCTGTCGCACATGGGGGTCTGCCCCGTGCTGAGACAGAGGAAAACGAGGTGCGGGAATTTAGAACACAGTGGCTCTTGCCCATTGCAATGCCACTCCTGGAAGTCCAACCTCCCTTCCTCCTGCCTGGGTTCATCCACCTGTGTCCTGTCTGATCCTCATTCCCACTGTATGGCTTCCCTTCCTGGCCCTGTGATAGGGCTCTTCATCCCCATCTGTGACACCCAGAGGGGCTCAGGAGGAAGCCAGGGTCCCGACCATAGTCTGACCTGACTGTCTTAATGAGCTGATTGGTCTGATCTCTCTCTTGCTGGCTGTTTCATTCATGAGCTGGGGCTTTTTCTCTCCTTCCCTTCTAAGTCCCCGAGGCTCAGGGACAACTGTAGGTGGGGAGCTGGGGGAACTGGAGATAAGACAGTGATAGAGCAGAGGGAGTAGTTGTGGGGCCACCTAGGAGAGTCTGGGTGTAGACCGCATTCCCAGCCACTCCCCTTCCCTGAACCAGGTCTCAGCTGCAGCAGGAGAGAAGGCTCACTCTGCCTCTCTCCTTAGACTTCCCTTCTTCCCCCCTCATTTCCCTCCTAGACGCTGACAGAGGCAAAAATCTGCTAACTCAGGGGGCAGACTCAACCAAGACTGCAAACAGGCCTGGGGAATGACCCCCCGATCTGCAACCGGCGCCTTCCGCGGCTGCACGGCTTTCTCCAGCTGTCTCTGCCCCTGTTCCTGGCCCTGGCTCCATCCCTCTCTCATCTCACCCTTCCCTGTGCCACATGGGCCCTCTGTCTCCTGCCAGGACGCTGCGGCTCTGGGGACCTCGGAGCCTGGGGGTGGCTCTGGGAGTCTTCATGACCATTGGCTTTGCACTCCAGCTCTTGGGAGGGCCCTTCCAGAGGAGGTAAGTTCCCACTTTGCCCCACCTCCTTCTAGATGCCCCACACTTGCTCTTCCCCATCCCGCCTGGGGCTGGTGACTCTTAGGGACTCAGAAGCCTCCATGCCCTCTGTCCCTTCCACCCATTTGCTGCTGAGGGACAGGACACTCCCCCTGCATCTCTTCCCAGGCTACCAGGGCCACAGCTCCGACAACCTTTGGCCCCATCTCTACGACCAGCCCTTCCGTCCTGCCCACCCAGGCAGCGACTGGTGTTCCTGAAGACGCATAAATCTGGGAGCAGCTCTGTGCTGAGCCTGCTTCACCGCTACGGGGACCGGCACGGGCTGCGCTTCGCCCTCCCTGCCCGCTACCAGTTTGGCTACCCAAGGCTCTTCCAGGCCTCAAGGGTAAAAGGCTACCGCCCCCAGACTGGAGGCACCCAGCTCCCCTTCCACATCCTCTGTCACCACATGAGGTTCAACCTGAAAGAGGTAAGGAGTGTCGCAGGGGTGGGAGGGACCAGCAAGAGATGGGCTCAGGCTGACACCACCAAGGGAGGGGGCCCAGACTTGAGGGCTCCCCAGGCATCATCTCACCCTAAAGTTGGACACGGGGGCCATAAAGGTGGGGGTCTCTGCCATCCTCTCTACAGGTGTCCCTTTCCCCGAAGTTTCTGGGAGCCCAAGTCCCCCTCTCTCCCTTCTCTCTCTGGTGCTTACTACAGTCTCTCTCTTTCACCAATGTATTTCCCTGGCATCAGTGCCCTGCCAATTCTGAGCCCCCAACTCTCCCTCCAGGTTCCCCTTACCCTTCTTTTTCTTTTTATTTCTTGGAAGACAGGGTCTTGCTCTGTCGCCCAGGCTGGAGTGCAGGGGCACAATCATAGCTCTTGACTTCCCAGGCTCAAGGGATCCTCCCACCTCAGCCTCCTGAGTAGCTAGGGCTAAGGCATGTGCCACTACACATGGCTACTTTTTAATTTTTTTGTAGAGATGGGGTCTTGCTATGTTGCCCAGACTGATCTCAAACTCCTGGGCTTAAATAAATAAATAAATACTCCTGGGCTCAAGCCATCTGCTCACCTTGGCCTCCCAAAGGGTTGGGATTACAGGAGTGAGCTTGCCCAGCCTCTGTGTGTATGTGTGTGTGTGTGTGTGAGAGAGAGAGAGAGAGAGAGACAGGGTCTCACTCTGTCATCCAGGCTAGAATGCAGTGGTGCAATTATACCTCACCGCAACTTCAAACTCCTGGGCTCAAGCGATCCTTTTACCTCAGCCTCCCAACTAGCTGCGACTACGGGTGCACGCCACCACACCTGGCTAATTTTTTTTTATTTTTTGTAGAGATGGGGTCTCACTATGTTGCCCAGGCTGGCCTCAAACAATCCTCCCACCTCAGCCTCGCAAGTACCTAGGACAACATGCCCCTTCCTTTTCTTAGCCTCCCTTCCACTGTCACACCAGGGCCCCAGCTCCCCCACTGCCTTCTGACTTGTCTTCTTCAACCCCCTCACCATGTCTGCCACATTTTGAGGATCAGTTACACGTTTAGCCCAGGGCTAAGCCCAGCACTTTGGGAAACCAACATGGGCAGATCACCTGAGGTCAGCTGAGAATAGCTGGGTGGAAGCCCAGTCCTGACCTCCAGGAACTTCTATTCTAATGGGGGAGAGAAAAACATACACATTCACATACTCAGACACACACAGGAAGCTGAGGGCTCCTATAGGAAGAAAATCAATGTGTAATTGAAACATACAGGGAAGAAACTAAACTGAATATTTACCAATGCTGAGTACTAATCTTCCCATCACCTTGCCAGGAAGGCATTTTAAGTGTCTCCATTACACATACGTGGAGTTCGAGTCTCAGGGAGGTGAAGAGACTTTCACAGTTAGAAAATGGCACCCAGTAGCCACAGTGGCTCACGCTTATAATCCCAGCACTTTAGGAGGCTGAGGCGGAGAATCACTTGAACCCAGCAGTGTGAGACCAGCCTGCCCAATATAGCGAGACCCCACCTGTACAAAAAATTTAAAACATCAGGCAGGTGTGGTAATGCATGCCTGTAGTCTCAGCTACTCAGGAGGCTGAAGCAGGAGGATTGCTTGAGCCCAGGAGTTGGAGGCTGCAGTGAGCTATGATTGTGCAACTGCACACCAACCTGGGTGACAAAGCAAGATCCTATTGCTAAAAACATAAAGATTAAGGCCAGGCATGGTGGCTCACGCCTGTGATCTTCACACTTTGGGAGATTGAGGCAGGAGAATCACTTGAGCCCAGTAGTTCAAAAGTAGCCTGGGCAACATAGCAGACTCCGTCTCTACAAAAAGATAAACATAAATAAAAATAGCTGAGGGCAGTGGTGCATGCCTGAAGTCCCAGCTACTCAGGAGGCTGAAATGGGAGGACCACTTGAGCCAAGAGAGTCGAGGCTGCAGTGAGCCAAGATCATGCCACTGTACACCAACCTGGTGGCAGAATAAGACCCTGTCTTGAAAGATGAATAAATAAATAGGCTGGGCACGGTGGCTCACACCCGTAATCCCAGCACTTTGGTAGACCAAAGTGGGCAGATCACCTGAGGTCAGAAGTTCGAGACCAGCCTGGTCAACATGGTGAACCCTGTCTCTATTAAAAATGCAAAAATTAGCCAGGTGTGGTGGTGCATGCCTGTAATCCCAGCTACTCAGGAGGCTGAAGCAGGAGAATTGCTTGAACCTGGGAGGTAGAGGTTTCAGTGAGCTGAGATAGTGCCACTGTGCTCCAGCCTGGGCAACACAGTGGGACTCCGTTTCACAAAAGAAAAAAAAAAAAAAAGGAAAGAAAGATAAATAAATAAATAAAATTGAAAATGAAAGTGGCAGAGCTGGAAGTTGAGCCCAGGTCCATGCACTCCCAAGTCAAGGCTCCTTCCAAGGCTTGTGCGTGCATTTGTATCTGGAATGGTGAGAAGAGTATTCACCAAAGAGGTGAGGCTTTCTGGAGATGGGGGTTTATTTTACTTTATTATTTAATTGTGATGTTATTTATTTATTTATTTTGAGACAGAGTCTTGCTCTTTTCCCCGGGCTGGAGTGCAGCGGTGCCACCTCAGCTCACTGCAACCTGTACCTCCCGGGTTCAAGCAATTCTCGTGCCTCCCAAGTAGCTGGGGCTATAGGCACCTGCCACCACGCCTGGCTAATTTTTGTACTTTTAGTAGGGATGGAGTTTCACCACGTTGACCAGGCTGGTCTCAAACTCCTGACCTCAAATGATCCGCCCACCTCGGCCTCCCAAAGTGCTAGGATTCCAGGTGTGAGCCACTGTGCCCAGCCGAGAGTAGGGGGTTTTAAAGGAAAAGGTGGATGTGGCTTGTGGTAAGGACAGCATGAGGCATTCTTAGAGGGAGCAAAACACCAGCAAGGACATGGTGGGGTGCATGTGTGTATGTGCATATAAAAGGGAGAACGTCTGTACTGGGGTGGAAGTTCTGCAGGGTCTGCAAAGTCACCCTTGTTGAAGCTGGAGCTGGAGACACCAGCTGAGGACATGGGCGTGCTCTAATGGGCAGCGAAAGGCCACTGGCAGGAGTGAGGCAATGACAGTGACCTTTGAGATAGGTTTCTCCAGAGGCTAGGATGATGGCCTTCATTGACACCACCATTCACTGAATATCTACCATGTTCCAGACACTTGCACAGTCTTCCAGGTAAGTGTTACCCAGTTACTCAGATTTCTAGATGGAGGAATGATGGCTCTGAAACCTTCGATAACCCTCCCAAAGTCACAGAATTAGTAAATGGGAGGGTGGGATTTTATTCCAGGTCCAGATGCCAAAGACTGTTTTCTTCACTTTCCCCTCTGCCTTCAAAGAGACCTGCAGGGCCAGGCATGGTGGCGCATGCCTGTGATCCGAGTGCTTTTGCATGCTAAGGTGGGAGGATTACTTGAGCCCAGGAGTTCGAGGCCAATCTGGGCAACATAGCAAGACCCCATCCCTACAAAAAAAATTAAGAATTAACAGGGTATGTTGGTGTGTGCCTGTAGTCCCAGCTACTCAGGAGGCTGAGTCTGGGGACTCCCTTGAGCCCAGGAGTTTTCAAGGCTGCAGTGAGCTATGATATGCCACCTACGTGACAGAGCAAGAAAACACTGTCTCTTAAAAAATAATAATAAGAGGCCGGGCGTGGTGGCTCACGCCTGTAATCCCAGAACTTTGGGAGGCCGAGGAGGGTGGTTCACGACGACAGGAGATCGAGACCATCCTGGCCAACATGGTGAAACCCCGTCTCTACTAAACAAAATACAAAAAATTAGCCGGGCATGGTGGCAGGTGCCTGTAGTCCCAGCTACTCAGGAGGCTGAGGCAGGAGAATGGCGTGTACCCTGGAGGCGGAGCTTGCAGTGAGCCGAGATCGCACCACTGCACTCCAGCTTGGGCAACAGAGTGAGACACCGTCTCAAAAAAGTAAAAAGAATAAGAATAAGAAGAAAAGAAACACTGAAAAGTTTTATTTGAAAAATACTCATTTCCTGCCCCCCCCCCAAAAAAAAAAAAAAAGAGCGTTCACAGGCTGCTATTCAGGTGTGCCATATTTGCAAAGCCGATTGAGGAACACCATGACAGAAGTCAGATTCAATGATGGAAGTCATTTTTGGAGGCAGAAACCCTTTAAGGAGATCAGGAGCTAGGTTCTGACCTGCATCAGCCTGCAGGGCTATGTTAGGGTGTGGTGCAGCCTGATTTCCACCTTCCTTCTTACAGAATGGTGGAATCACATGTCCCAGCCCTCAGGGCAGCATCCTACCAGGCAGCGGTGGCTTCCCAGTGCCCCGGCCCAGGGTGTCTTTTGCCCTCTGGGATGTCCAGGAGTCCCTGAAGTGCTTTACCCCTCAGTGATTCTGGGCCTGGCCTGCCCACCTGCTGCCTATGCCTGAGATGGCATTATAGTTGCCCCTTTGCTGCCAGTGATGCCTCTCCTGGGCATTCAACAGGTTTTTGCTGGAGAAATGAGTACAAAGGTTGGTTTCTAGAGGTTTTACTGACCAAGGCAGACAGAAATGCCCGAGGAAATTAATGTTCTCCAGGAGTTTCCTATCCTCCAGGTTTCCTTCCCTCCCTTCTTTCTCTTTTTTCTTTTTCTTTTTTTCCCTTCCTTTCCCTCCCCTCCCCTCCCCTTAAAAATTAGTGCCTGGCTAATTTTTAAGTTCTGGGATACATGTGCAGAATATGCAAGTTTGTTACATAGGTATACATGTGCCATGGTGGTTTGCTGCACCTATCAACCCGTCATCTAGGTTTTAAGCCCTGCATGCATTAGGCATCCATCCTAATGCTCTTTCTCTTCCTTTGCCCCTGATCCCCTGACAAGCCCCTCCCCTCCCCTTCCCCTCCCTTTACTCCCCTCCCCTCCCCTCCTCTTCCCTTCCCTCCTTCCCCCTCTTGCCCTGGCTCTCTTTCTTTTTTTTGAGACAGAGTCTCACTTTGTTGCCCAGGCTGGAGTGCAGTGGCGCGATCTCGGCTCACTGCAACCTTTGCCACTCAGCTTCAAGCAATTCTCCTACCTCAGCCTCCCGAGTAGCTGGGATTACAGGCATCTGCCACCGTGCCCGGCTAATTTTTTGTAGTTTTAGTAGAGACGGGGATTTCACCATCTTGGCCAGGCTGGTCTTGAACTCTTGACCTTGTGATCCACTTGCCTCAGCCTCCCAAACTGCTGGGATTACAGGTATGAGTCACTGCACCCGGCCCCTTTCTTTCAAGGCAGAGTCTTGCTATGTTGTTCAGGCTTGTCTTGAACTCCTGGACTCAAGCAATCCTACCACCTCAGCCTCTTAAGTAGCTGGGACTACAGGTGTGTGCCAGGATACCCTGCTAATTTATTTTTATTTTACTTTAAGTTCTGGGATATATGTGCAGAGCACATAGGTTTGTTACATAGGTACACATGTGCCAAGGTGGTTTGCTGCACTGATCAACCCGTCATCTAGGTTTTAAGCCCTGCATGCATTAGGTATTCATCTGAATGCTCTCCTTCCCCTTGCTCCCCACCCCGACAGGCCCCGGTTTGTGTTGTTCCCCTCCCTGTGTCCATGTGTTCTCACTGTTCAACTCCCACTTACTTACGAGTGAGAACACTTGGTGTTTGGTTTTCTGTTCCTGTGTTAGTTTGCTGGAGTAGGTTACTTTGCTGAGCACGATGATGGCTTCCAGCTTCATCCATGCACCTGCAAATGACATTATCTCATTCTTTTTTATGGCTGGATAGTATTCCATGGTGTATATGTGCCACATTTTCTTTATCCAGTCTATCATTGATTGCCCTGCTAATTTTTTTAGTTTTATTTTTGTAGAGGCAGGGTCTCGCTATGTTGTCCAGGCTGGCCTCGGCAACATAGCAATGCTCAAGCCATACTCCTGCCTCAGCCTCCCGAGTAGCTGGGTCGACAGGCACACAAAACATGCCTGGCTCCATCCTCCAGGTTTCCTCGTGTGTTTTATCTCATGTATCTTTCATAATCACTTGGGAAAGTATGATTATCCCCATTTTGCAGATAAGCAAATTGAGTCTCAGAGATGTTAGGTAACTTGCCACGCAACAAGTGATGGAAGCTGGGGATTCCTAGCAGAGCTGGGAGAAGGAGGTTTGAGGAGGCTGGGTCAGTGGACACATGGCTTGTGCATACTTATACATACCTTCTCCCCAGCCCAATTCTCTCTCTCTTCTGTCTTCCCTCCTCTGCAGGTACTTCAGGTCATGCCTTCTGACAGCTTCTTTTTTTCCATTGTCCGAGACCCAGCGGCTCTGGCTCGCTCTGCCTTCTCCTATTATAAATCCACCTCATCAGCCTTCCGCAAGTCACCATCCTTGGCTGCCTTCCTGGCCAATCCTCGAGCCTTCTATAGGCCTGGGGCCCGTGGGGACCACTACGCTCGCAACTTACTATGGTTTGACTTTGGCCTGCCCTTTCCCCCAGAGAAGAGGGCCAAGAGAGGGAATCTTCATCCCCCCAGAGACCCCAACCCCCGACAGCTTCAGGTCTTGCCTTCTGGTGCTGGCCCTCGAGCCCAAACCCTCAATCCCAATGCCCTCATCCATCCTGTTTCCACTGTTGCTGATCATCGCAGCCAGATATCAAGCCCTGCCTCTTTCGATTTGGGGTCTTCATCCTTCATCCAGTGGGGTCTGGCCTGGCTGGACTCTGTCTTTGACCTGGTCATGGTGGCTGAGTACTTCGATGAGTCATTGGTTCTGCTGGCAGATGCCCTGTGCTGGGGTCTAGATGACGTGGTGGGCTTCATACACAATGCCCAGGCTGGACGTAAGCAGGACCTCAGCACTTTCAGCAACACTGGACTGACTGCAGAGGACCAAGAGCTGACTGCACGGGCCCGAGCCTGGAACAACCTGGACTGGGCTCTCTACGTCCACTTCAACCGCAGTCTCTGGGCACGGATAGAGAAATACGGCCAGCGCCGGCTGCAGACAGCTGTAGCCGAGCTCCGGGCTCGCCGAGAGGCCCTAGCCAAACATTGTCTGGCAGGGGGTGAGGCTTCTGACCCCAAATACATCACTGATCGCCGGTTCCGCCCCTTCCAGTTTGGGTCAGCTAAGGTTTTGGGCTATATACTTCGGAGTGGATTGAGCCCTCAGGACCAAGAGGAGTGTGAGCGCTTGGCTACCCCTGAGCTCCAGTATAAGGACAAGCTGGATGCCAAGCAGTTCCCCCCTACCGTCTCACTGCGTCTCAAGACTTCAAGGCCACTCTCCCCATAGACATCAGACTACAGATTTAGGTGGAAGAGCAGCCATGTTTGAAGGGCACATGTGATGAGTGGGGGGCAGCAAGATGCCACTTCTGCATCTCCCAGAAGGGATGAGTCTTTGTCCTGATGCAAGCGTCGTCTTTGCTAGGCTCCCAACAGTGCTTTCCTCCTTCACCCTCTACTCATTTTGTTCTTTCTCCCCGATTTTTCTTTTTTTTTTTAAATTTTATTTTGAGATGGAGTCTCGCTCTGTCCCCCAGGCTGGAGTGCAGTGGCATGATCTCGGCTCACTGAAACCTCTGCCTTACGGGTTCAAGTGATTCTCCTGCCTCAGCATCCAGAGTAACTAGGATTACAGACGTGTGCCACCATACCCGGCTAAATTTATTTTTTTTATTTTTTTTTTTTTGAGACAGAGTCTCGCTCTGTTGCCTGGCTGAAGTGCAATGGCGCCATCTTGACTTACTGCAACCTCTGCCTCCTGGGTTCAAGTGATTCTCCTGCCTCAGCCTCCCAAGTAGCTGGGACTACAGGTGTGCACCACCATGCCCGGCTAATTTTTTAATTTTTAGTAGAGATGGGGTTTCACCATGCTGGCCAGGCTGGTCTCGAACTCCTGACCTTGTGATCCATCTGCCTCAGCCTCCCAAAGTGCTGGGATTACAGGCATGAGCCACCGCACCTGGCCTAATTTTTTTTTTTTTTTTTTTTTTTTTTTGTTTGGAGGCGGGTTTTTGCTCTGTAGCCCGGGCTGGACTGCAGTGGCCGGATCTCAGCTCACTGCAAGCTCCGCCTCCCGGGTTTACGCCATTCTCCTGCCTCAGCCTCCGGAGTAGCTGGGACTACAGGCGCCCGCCACCTCGCCCGGCTAGTTTTTTGTATTTTTAGTAGAGATGGGGTTTCACCGTGTTAGCCAGGATGGTCTCGATCTCCTGACCTCGTGATCCGCCCGTCTCGGCCTCCCAAAGTGCTGGGATTACAGGCTTGAGCCACCGCGCCCGGCCACCTGGCCTAATTTTTATATTTTTAGTAGAGACAGGGTTTCAACATGTTGGTCAGGCTGGTCTTGAACTCGTCACCTCAGATGATCCACACGCCTCTGCCTCCCAAAGTTCTGCCATTATAGGCGTGAGCCACTACACCTGGCTTCCCCTTCCCCTTTCTTGCCCCAAGGCAGATCCACATCACCAAAGCTCCCTAGGTGGGCAAAAGATGGAGTGAGCCACAGAAAGTTTGGGGCGTGGTGAGTTGGAATGATACGTCCATTTCTCTATGAAATATTTGCTACTAGACTGTTCATTTCTCTCTGAAATATTTGTTGAATGAATAAATAATTTGAAACTTCTACTTGATTTATGGAGGATGGAAAGGGGAGGGATGGAGAATCTTCCTGGAAGAAGTGGGGTTGGAAGGTTTATTTATTTATTTATTTATTTATTCATTTTTTGAGACAAGATCTCACTCTGTTATCCAGGCTGCACCAGTGTCCCAATCATAGCTCACTTCAGCCTCAAACTTCTAGGCTCAAAGGATCCTCCTGCCTAGGCCTTCTAAGTAGCTGGGAGTACAGGCGCGCGCCACCGCACCCGGACAATTTATTTAAAGTTTTTGCAGAGAGGAGGTCTTGCTATGTTGGCCAGGGAGGTCTTGAACTCCAGGCCTCAAGCAATCCTCCCGCCTCGGCCTCCCACAGTGCTGGGATTACTGGCGTAAGCCAACACGCCTGGCCGACAGGGTTCTTACATTTCTTTTCCAAGACGCCTGGCCGCAGCCCCGGCCTGCATTCTCTCAGCCTCAGAGCAGCGGGACCCCGCCCCCTCCTCCACGGTCCGGGCACCCGCAGATTCCCGGGCCACGGCGGCCACGCCCCCTCCCTTCCGCTTCCGGTTTCTCTCCAGTCATTCGGCTCAGTACCCCGGTTCCGGCGCCGCCGGGTCTCGGTTCCGGATTTGTTGCCCCGGTGCCGGGACCGGGCCGGTCTCTCGGGCCGCCCCAGCCGCGCGCAGCAGCCCGAGGTGTCGGGACCCTCTGGACCTACCCTAGAGGGCCCCGCTGGGGGTCGGCCTCCGGTCCGGGCTCCCGGTCGCGCCGTCCTCGCCGCCCCATGGAGTCCCAGTGCGACTATTCGATGTACTTCCCGGCCGTGCCGCTGCCGCCGCGCGCGGAGCTGGCAGGGGACCCGGGCCGGTACCGGGCGCTGCCCCGGCGCAACCATCTGTACTTGGGGGAGACTGTCCGCTTTCTGCTGGTGTTGCGCTGCCGGGGCGGTGCGGGGTCCGGCGCCGGGGGCGGCCCGGGCTTGGGCTCCAGAGGAGCCTGGGCAGAACTGGCAACCGCCCTGGCCGCCCTGGCCTCGGTCAGCGCCGGAGGCGGGATGCCGGGTGGCGGCGGTGCCGGCGACCAGGATTCGGAGCCCCCAGGGGGAGGGGATCCTGGGGGTGGGGGTTTGTTCCGAGGCTGCAGCCCCCTTCTCACCCACGGCCCGGGCCCTGCTACCTCAGGGGGAGCGACCACGGTGAGGAGCTTTGGGGGACCCGGCACAGGGCGGAGGGGGTTTGCTGGGGGCGTAAGGCAGGAGGCAGATGACCTGCTGGTCTTAAAGAGAAAGGCTGCAGGCTGCCTCTGACTTGCTCCTGACCTCTTCACCCCTTTCCCAACCCCAGCTGCCTGTGGAGGAACCGATTGTTTCCACAGATGAGGTCATCTTCCCACTCACCGTTTCACTGGATAGACTGCCCCCAGGGACACCTAAGGCCAAGGTAAGATGAGCAAGGAGTGGAGCTGTTGTCCTAATTCAGACACCTTTTCCGGGCTCAGCCATTTGTCTTTCCTCTTGACAGATTGTAGTGACTGTGTGGAAGCGGGAGGTTGAGGCACCAGAGGTCAGAGATCAAGGCTACCTACGATTGCTGCAGACCCGATCTCCTGGGGAGACATTCCGGGGCGAGCAGAGCGCTTTCAAGGCCCAAGGTGGGCAGGACAACGCAGAGGCGAAGGGCTAGAGTCTCTCGGAATTGAGGGAGAGAGGGGAGGGGTCACACTGGAAAGTGGCTAATGGGCTCTGAGAAGAGGAAGGTGAGAATTCTGGGTTGGAGGTGAGGTCAGCCCCCAGACCATCACTTCTTGCCCCCAACCCCTCCCGCAGTGAGCACGCTGCTGACTCTGCTGCCCCCTCCGGTTCTGAGATGCCGGCAGTTCACTGTGGCTGGAAAACACTTGACCGTGCTCAAGGGTAAGCAGGTCTGCCAGCTCCAGCCTCGGGGAGCAGCAAGGGAACTGATTGGATGCAGTTCCTCTAGGCAGGCTGGTGGGGTCCGGTTTTTTCTGGGTAAAGGTGGGGCCTGAGGGGTCCAGCTATTCTGAGCCAAGCTGTTCCTCTCCCACAGTGCTGAACAGCTCCTCTCAGGAGGAAATCTCCATCTGGGATATCCGAATCCTCCCCAACTTCAACGCCAGTTATCTACCTGTCATGCCCGATGGCTCTGTGCTGCTGGTGGACAATGTCTGGTGAGGTCCTGGGAGGGGCGAGGCTGTGAAGTGGTGGGGACGGCTTCAGGGACTGAGCTCTGGCATGGGGAGACCATGCCTTGTTCTCTTTTCTGAGCTAGTCACCAGTCTGGGGAAGTCTCCATGGGCTCCTTCTGCCGCCTACCCGGGACCTCTGGCTGCTTCCCCTGCCCACTGAATGCCCTGGAGGAACACAACTTCCTGTTTCAGCTGCGAGGGGGTGAGCAGCCCCCTCCAGGGGCCAAGGAGGTGAGCATAAGGGGCTGGTGTGTTCAAAGAAAAGTGATAAGGCAGTGGGAGGGAAAGACCATGCAGCTGACTCAAGATGGGAGGGGCACTCTTAATACCTGCCCCAACCCCCTTTGTCCCTCCCACAGGGCCTGGAAGTTCCCCTGATTGCTGTGGTTCAGTGGTCCACCCCAAAGCTGCCCTTCACTCAGAGCATCTACACCCACTACCGGTGAGTGTGGATCCCGGAGGAACTGTGGCGTTCGCCTTTGTGGCTTGACACACACAGCCAGCATCCCTCTCTCACCACTCCTAGCCTGCCCAGTGTCCGCCTGGACCGCCCGTGTTTCGTGATGACCGCTTCTTGTGAGTCCCCTGTTCGGACCTACGAGCGTTTCACTGTCACCTACACTTTGCTCAACAATCTCCAAGACTTCCTTGCTGTGAGGCTCGTGTGGACCCCAGAGCATGCACAGGCTGGTAGGTCAGCTGCCAGGTGGGGATCTGATCCCCAGGGAGGAGAAAAGAAAGGAAAAAGTCAGGGAGGCCGGACAGTGATAACAGCCAAACTTGGTGCCAGCCCCACCACAGGAGGTGACTTGTGGCAGGTGGCTTCCGCCCTGTACCTGGGTCATCTCCCCAGTGTCCTAGATGGAGAGTTTAGAGAGGCAGTGGGGCAGAGTGACTTTCAGGGCATAGACACTGGAGCTGCACTTGCTGGTGTGAACTCTACTTCTCTCTTTTACTAGCTGTGTGACCTTGAATAAGTTACTTAACCTCGCCGGGCGCGGTGGCTCAAGCCTGTAATCCCAGCACTTTGGGAGGCCGAGGCGGGTGGATCACAAGGTCAGGAGATCGAGACCATCCTGGCTAACACAGTGAAACCCCATCTCTACTAAAAAAAATACAAAAAACTAGCCGGGCGTGGTGGCGGGCGCCTGTAGTCCCAGCTACTCGGGAGGCTGAGGCAGGAGAATGGCGTGAACCCGGGGGGCGGAGCTTGCAGTGAGCCGATATCGCGCCACTGCACTCCAGCCTGGGTGACAGAGCAAAGACTCCGTCTCAGAAAAAAAAAAAAGTTACTTAACCTCTCTGGGCCTCAGAGTCCTCACCTCTAAAATAGAGCAACTCATATCTCATGGGGTTGTCATGCAGATACTGAGTTAATATACGTGACATGCCTTGCACACAGTAAGTATTAGCTGTTGTTATCTACAACATGCACAAAAGATAACGTTTGCTCAGTTTACTCCACAGAGTGGCTTTGAGAATCAGATGTGCTGGCGAAGGCCCTGTGGGAATGAGGAACGCTGTAGTGTTTGCTGGTCCCTGTTTCTGCCCCCAGGAAAGCAGCTGTGTGAGGAGGAGCGCCGGGCCATGCAGGCTGCCCTGGACTCCATCGTCTGCCACACGCCCCTCAACAACCTCGGCTTTTCCCGGAAGGGCAGCGCTCTCACCTTCAGTGTGGCCTTCCAGGCTCTGAGGACGGGACTCTTCGAGGTGGGCTGGGGAGGGTCTGAGCTGAGTGCTGAGTGATGCAGAATGCTGGGGTGGATGGAGGCAGGACCCTTAGATTTTAGGGA